CTACGACAGTCGGTCCCTCTATACCTCTCGGAAATGGCGCCCCCGAAATACAGGGGAGCCTTCAACATCGGCTTCCAGCTGTGCGTCGGCACCGGCGTCCTCCTCGCCAACCTCATCAACTACGCCACCCAAAAAATACCAGGCGGCTGGGGCTGGCGGATTTCCCTAGCCATGGCCGCCGCCCCAGCCTCCATCCTCACAATCGGCGGCATTTTCCTTCCCGAGACCCCCAGCAGCCTCATCCAACACCACGACAACACCAACACCAACAATCTCGCCAAATCCAAGAAGCTTCTCCAGAGAATCCGAGGCGTCGATGACGTGGACGCCGAGCTGGCCGACCTCGTCTCCGCCAGCCTTGCCTCCCGCGCCACGCGCTCACCCTTTCGGAAGCTTCTGGAGCGCCGCTACCGTCCCCAGCTGGTGATGTCTGTCGCCATCCCCGCCTTCCAGCAGCTGACTGGGATCAACGTCATCGCCTTCTACGCTCCCGAGATCTTCCGAACGATGGGGTCGGGAGTCAGCGCGTCCCTCCTGTCGACCGTCGTCATCGGTGTAGTCGGGACAGCTATGACGGCCGTGTCCATGCTGGCGGCTGACAAGGCGGGCCGCCGGGCCCTGTTTCTCATCGGCGGGCTTCAGATGTTGGGCCCGCAAGTGGCGATCGGGTCTGTGCTGGCGGCCCGGCTGGGGGACACGGGGGGTTTGGGCGGGAAGGGTTATGGGGTCTCGGTTTTGATACTGATATGCGTCTACGTGGCGGGGTTCGGGTTGTCGTGGGGCCCGCTGGGGTGGCTGGTGACGAGCGAGATATTCCCGTTGGAGGTGAGGTCGGCGGCGCAGAGCGTGAACGTGGGGGTGGGGTTTTTGTTGATATTTGCGGTGGCGCAGGCGTTTCTGGCGATGATGTGTCGTATGAAGGCTGGGATTTTCTTCTTGTTCGCGGGGTGGGTGGGGGTGATGACGGGGTTCGTGTACTTTTTGCTGCCCGAGACGAAGGATGTGCCGATAGAGAAGATGGAGGGGATTTGGAAGGAGCATTGGTTTTGGAGGAGATATGTTTGTGATGATGATGATACTGATGATGGTGGTCAAGGTGTGGAGTGAGTAAATTAATGAATGAATGAATGAATGATTATATAATCTCATTTCTTGAGTTAGTTTCTTTTTGTGAGACATTTGGGAAAATGTTGAAGTTTTTCAATTAAGTTAGTGGGAAAATGCTTGTCAAGAGAACCAGATAATTAGACAAATCACAAGAAAGAAATGTCATACAGATCACCACAATTGATGAACAACCATACACATCCATCAAATAACTAGAAATATCACAACTTGAGTGGATTTGTTTTCCCAGCTTGAACCTCAACGCCTTCTTCGTTTTAGTTCATCAATGACTTGAGAATAAGACTCAATATATTTTTGTACACCGTCAATGTAACCTCGCGAGCCAATCTTTTCTCCTGCAACTCGTGAGCGAAAAATCCTCTCGTATATTGCATTTTTGGGCTGAATTTCCTCTTCAATCTTTCATAATTAAGCTGGTTAAGTGGATGTATATGGATAGCGATGATGACTTTAGAGCACCTCTAAGTGTGAAAATGATTGAATTGTCATGTCCATAAGTAACACTAATGATCCATTTTAAATGTCTATAAGACGCGCATTTTATTTCTTCTTGTTCTAAAAAAAGTGCGAACAAATTGCATAGATGAATAGATGATATTCATCAGGTGCGCTCCACCATATTTTTCTAAGAGTAACTCCAGCCCTGTTCTATCTCTCAAGATATGGCGCAAAAAATCCTCCAACGCTCCGTTAGAATCTTGCGCTAGTTCAGAGAATTGAACAGTGTTGCACCCAATGTGGTGCAACACTGTAGCTGCAACGCTACATTCTCTTTTTTTTTTTTTTTTTTTTTTTTTTTGTTTTTTATGTATAGTAATGTAATATTAATGATAAATTTATGTATAATGTGTATTAGTAAATATATTTTTTATACTAAATAATTGTGTAATGTATTTTTTATGCTAAATAATTTTGTGCTTTTTATTTATTGATGTATTATAATTTTATTTTGTAATTTTTTAATATTAAAATGATACTATATAAATAAAAATTTAACACACTCAAGCAAGTTTATTTCAGTAAAATTAAGTTGTGGATTTCCTTATCCACATATATGGTCTAAACCATATATGGTCTAGTGTGTAAATTTGCACTAATTCATATATTTTCAAAAGTAACAATTTTGATTCAATTAGATGTATATGTATCTTCTTTAAGAAATTCAATTTATTACAATCATTTTTAAAATGTGAATATATGCTCTAAACCATATATGGTCTAGTGTGTAAATTTTCACTAATTTTTATTACTATTTGGGTAATAAACATTTATATAATATTACATATTCATATATATAGCAAATTATTCGAAATAAAAATAAATAAAATATATTTTTATTATTTGAGTAATTAACATTTTATATAAGATTAAATATACATATATACCAATTTATTTGAAATAAAAAATGAATAAAAAAATAATATATTTAATGTAGAGTAAAATGTAGAGATAAGGGCTGGAGATGAATGTTCAACTCTACTGTAGAGTAGAGTAAAGTCCGCGCTAAAGTAGAGATAAGAGCTGGAGATGGCCTAAGAGTTTCTCCATCAACGCTAGATTAGTTATTTCACTTCAAATTAAAGCCAAATTAATGTCTAGATTTTATAATCTTTTTTTTTTATTTTTTATTTTTTACTTTTTTTATTAGGTTTGTTAATGCGTAATGTTGACAAAATATATATTAATAAATAATATTAAATTTATTATAATTTTCCTTATGTAAATTATTATGTTTTTTGACAAAATGTGTACAAATAAATGGGAGGAAAAAGGTTGACTCATCAAGTCCAACGGATCTTTCACATGTAGAGAGTTCTAAGTTTATTGTGTCTCTTTAACGTCACATCATCACGACTCGAAGTTAAAAATTCACCGTTAGAAAAGATTTTTATTGCATTGTCTTTTTTTTTTTTTGGAACCTGTTAATATCCGAGTCCGGCCCCAATAAGAGGTGCCGGTCCGACATATCGATAACCGAACGATGACCGGCTGAGTCAGAGGGGCCGGTCAACAAAGCAGCACGTGGGTGCCGAGCCGATCTAAAGTCAAAGTCGTCCGGAACGGCGGGAGGAACAGACCCCGAACTCGGCACCTCATACGTAAAGATATGAGGTCGGCACCCCATCCGAAGTCTCATCAGGACGGCCCCGGATAAAAACTCGATCTCAAATACGATAAATTAAGGCCACTTGTCAACGAATGATTGCCGATGGGACGTCCTGCTCAGCCAGAACGTGTCCGCATTTAATGTAGCCCACGTCCGCATTAAATGCATGGCAGGTAATGATTGGAAAACCCCGAAATTACTCCCAATCAGTCAGAGAAGCGCCGGCTTGTCCCGCCAAGTCACTGTACGACAAGATTGATGAACAGTACCCGAACAGTGTTGCATTAAAGACCCCTATAAATAGCAACCCCCTCGTTTATTTTTGGGTTGTTGAATCCCAACTCCTCGAGCTCATACTTTCTCTCTCTAAAGACTTGTAAGAAAACTCTTGTAAGAAATCTCGAAGTATATCGCAAGTGCCGACCTCGTACGAGAGGCCGACCTCGTGATCGTTTAATAAAACCATAATTAAACTGTATTTCTTCGTCTTTTCCTTATTTTCTTCCCATTATTTAACTTTTTAACCGTTGACCGGAAACGCCCGTCAACAGAACCATAGAACCTCCTTTGAGGAAATTATATCCACTACTTAAATAATCTTAAAATATTACATAATTACATCCCCTATATAATTATTTATAAACTAACTAAATTTGTTATATTTATTTGCATATATGCCTAAAAATCTGATTTCCTATTTCTATGGTAACTTCCCATCCTATTTACATGGTAACTCCCCTCATCTCTCTCTTCGGATCTTGCTTTCTCTCGCCAAACCCTATCCATCGTCTCCCTTCATCTCTCTCTTCTCCAGATCTTGCTTTTTCTCGCCAAACCCGATCCATCGTTTCCCCTCATCTCTCTCTCTTCTCCAGATCTTGCTTTCTCCCCGCCAAACCCCACCCATCACGCCGCCCCTAGCGCCGCCATCATGGCGATGGTCTGCTTAGACACCGACTGTTATGAAACCAGACCAACGACTGAATGAACAACTAAAGAACCGAATCTAAGGAAAGAACAGATCCGAACATCACCAAGAAACTACGCTAGCACGAAACTATACAACGCACCCACCAACTAAACACAAAAACTACGCAAACTCCAATAATGGACAATAATCACTCGCATACGGGAGAATACACGCTCTCAAACTGGAAAAAACACAAAACACGAAAGCCATCTACACACAACACACAAACACGGAACAAACTAAAACTAGACTACGGCCCTTCGCTAGCCATGCATACCGAGCGAAACACGACGGCGGCACCCACGGTCGACTACCCATACAAACAGGACTACGACCATTAGTTGCCACTCCAGAAATTGCCAAACACGTCTAATTGGAGCCGAAACCCAAGAACCCCAGGCAAACGAGCCCAGACCGCAGCTGGAGGAATACCA